AAATAATTTGAGGTGGAAGTACGAAGCTGTGACTAATCACTTTCGCATTATCGATTCTTTTTTTTTTTTTGACCAAATACGGAAATACACGGCGTATGAGTAACAAAATTTCCTGTACATATTTCATACAGCAAAAAATGATTGGGTTGTTCACACTTGCCTGGTTATCAGGTTACCTGGTTAAAAATTATTATTCGCCAGTGTGTGTTATTGTTGTAAACTGAATAAAAAATACAACCACTTAACCAGATAACCTGATAACCAAGCAAGTGTGGACAACCCATATTTTATTTAATAATCGATTACGAGAAAGTGATTAGTTGGAGCGTGGTACTTTGATATTTCAAACTATTTTTGCCATTGAGCGATTAAATTGTCCACGCGCCGAACAAACTACTAAGCCGGTAAGTGCCCGCTGCGAAATGAAAATGCGTGGTAAGCCATTAAATTAGCACCAACTGTGATTTACATCTCCATAATTGTTTGTGTCAAAATGTTAACAAAATATCTCCTGCGACAAAAAAATTTATAAGTGGCGTATAATACTGATGCATACTGAAGTTTAATTGAAAATTATGGAACCTCCAAGTACTATTCCTTTTCGACTGGTTAGTAAAAGAGTACAGCTTTTTGATAAACCGCATTCTGCGAAGAATTGGCTGCATGAGTTTGTAAATTTTGGTTGATTTAACAGCTTGAAGCAATTTCTGTGATATTCTTACATTCCATAGAGAGCCACTTATCTAAACCTACTTTTAACCCTTCTATGGATAAAGATACGCACATCCTCTTTTATTTTTGTTGGAACTAAAATGTAAACAACGCATGCAGAAAACAGCACTCAGGCTACATACCACTCATTATACTCTTTTCACGTTGTTGCTTAGTTTAATTAGTCAAAAGTTTGCTTCTTTTATAAATCATTCCGCGTAAATGTAGATCTATAATTGGCTCATTACAATGCAAAAGCTTTACTTGGTAGTTGGTGTAGAGTTTACTCCATATTATTCAAAAGACATATGCATAAATTAAGTTTCTATCCTTTAACCCTTCTATGACATCCTAGGCACAGATGTACCAATACAAATTTTGAAAACGGATTTTTAATATTATTTACGCATCTACAAAATTGAAAGTTTATTAATGCTTCGTACAGTGTGTCCAGTATATGCTCATACAGAACTTGTCAATAATGTCATAAATAAAAATAGTGGGAAAATATCTTTCTACCGAGATCCCATAAGGGTAAATCAGAATAGTTTTGGCCCAGTTTTTTCATAAATCAATCTTTGCAAAAGTAAAAAAAAATAGCATCAAAAATTTCATTACTACGATTCCGTCTGTTTTGTCATCTGAGGGGACTTTTTTCAAAAAGTTCTTTAAGAAACTATTTTTATTCATAAATAACTCCATTTTTGGAGGTATTTTCAAATCGGTCCAGCTAGCTTAAATCTTAATATTTTTCCGAAATATTTTGGTGAACATCTTAAAACATAATAAATTTTGTAATCCCGGCGGAAAACCGCATTTTGTTTTTTTTTTTTGGTGATGCAGTCTAATATTTATGTATGTATATCCAAAAATTAATAAATGTTCAAGGGCTGAAAATGTTTGTACACTTTTACTTTTTTAAAAACAGTGTGGCCATTTTGGAAATTTACGAGCCGACCAATAATATCATTGGGCACGTTCAGAAGGCGCAACAGCTCAGCAACTGTTGCGATTGCACCTTATGAACGCGTTGTTTTGTACTTCTGATCAACTGAACAGTTGCGTGTTAGATGATCGTAATATTTTTCTGATCATTTGAGACAACATGTTGTGTGTTTTGAATTTGACAGCTAATGTATCAAGCCGTTCAGAAGACACATTACGACCACTGACTTTTTTAGCAACGGTTGCGCTCAACTGCTGCGCCTTCTGAACTTGCCCATTAATAAAATTTACAAAACCTTACATATTAAATGAAAGGATACTGTTTTAATCATTTTTGGGATCGCTGAATACAAATCTGTTGTCAGATTTTAAAATATCAAAATGGCTGATTGATCGAAAATGGAGGACGATTATTTCAAAATTCAACATTTTTGCTCGCACCTTGAGACTCGGGTTTTCGGGATTGCTTAACTCAAAGCGGTTTTAAGATCTTAAAAATTCTTAATGGGCTATTCATATTGGATCTACCATTTATAACGGAAAAATTAAGATCGAATGTACGTTAATGGCGTATGAGTTACTCATATGGGATGAGAATGTTATATGTTTTGCAACAGACGTTTTCGGACATTAAAAAGTAAAGCTATCATTTTTAGTAAATAGAACTTTAAAATAACATTTACAATTTATTTTCTAGCCATTTATACGAGTTGAAAAATTGTAATAATGTCTCTAGAAAACTCCTATGTATATACGTGAGGTGTTTAGAGCTAGGAAGGCTGAAAGGGACTTCGTTGCGGCTTTTATGGACTAGCAAAATACACAATATGGAAGAAGAAGACGGAGACATAACAAGGAAAGTGAATTTTATTTACACCAAAATAAAAACCATTTGTTGCGCGGTGATTGTGTAGAGAAAATTGGCTAGCGAAAATTAGTTTACTTGACGAAGAAAAGCCTCGCAAGTCAACTGATCAAAATAGAGGCAGACCAAAAAAATCTATAGACGAGTGCTCGACTTTCACAAAAAAAAGGAAACTCACAGATACTTCTGAAACTATTACTTTGGCTCTGTAGGGGCTTTGACGCTGTTAATGGATCTTGGTTTATCAAATAATATAATATCGCAAGAGTCATTATCGTCATTGTGGCACCCTGTATTTATATATTTATTTTAGAACGTTAGTTGTTGCAACGGTAGATTTTTTAGGTATGCAGTTTTGTAGTTCATTCAATTTTAGTAAAACAAAGTGCAAGATTGAAGTACCAAGGATTTGCCGTTGATTTTTTGGCAATTATTTGTTTACGCAGTTTCCTCCATACAAAGTATGTTGGAAAATTTTTTTGTATGGAGAGAATGAGCAACACGTTCAAAAAAAGAAAATTGCAAACAATTTTCGATCCGTTATAATAAAATTGATTTGGCTACAAAACTGCTTACCTAGAATGCTCCAAAGAAATCTAATTATATTGCTCAAAATTTTAATGTAACTTAGTAGAATTTTACTAATTTTTGTACAAAGTTTAAAATTTTGACTTACATGATTTTCGTTAGATAACAAGCTACACTTTCATAAAAAGGAACAATAAAAAATAAATTTTCGAAAGCGAAATGCTATGGCAGAAAGTTCCAGTGATAATCCGCGATCGCGAAGATTAGGCAAATGGGATCCCTGTCCTTGACCCTGATACGTACATTGGTACACAGACGGTTCAAGGCTGGATAAAAGAGCAGGCAAAGGCATTTTTGAACCTAGCACCAAACTTGCAATTCCCACAATTTAAAACTGCGCAAAATTAATCTTTGAAAAGGTTTCAAACTGGACTACGAAATCCAAGCTGGTTGGAGACTGCATTGACATGCTTCAAATGCCAAAATCACGGTAACACTGTGCTGGTACCCGGCTGTTGTGAATTCGAAGACATTGAGGTCGCCGACGAGCTGGCCCGAGAATGATCGCTAACTGCCTTTTCGGGACCTGAACCATTTCGTGGTCATAGTTGGTTCACTTCGAGAGCACACTGAACGTAGTTAGTGTTGGGTTAGTAGACACGATATAATTTTAGAAAATAGACCTGACTGATTACAGACGATCGTTATAAAAAATTCACCTACCAAGACCCTTTTAGGATCCATAAGGGAAGTCGGCGGTATCGTGGTCACACTGTGTTGTGGACTCTCTCTTTAAGATATGCAAAAGATCTTACAAGTCTCGGTGTCTAACTAACTAGCGAAAGAATGCTTAAATTTCTCTCCCCTATTTATATTTTCGCCACTGTATACGGAATAATTCAAAAGATAACTGGGATAACATTTCATTAAGTTCAAATTATCCTGGAGTAAATTTTTTAGACGAAAAGTGTTCGTCTACCCATAGTAGAAAATATTCGTTTACTTAGCTTTAGTGCAAACGCGCCGTTGAAAGTTTCCTTTTTCATGCAATTTTTTCAAATTATGTTATATGTATGTAATTATTTATGTATAAATATAAAGTGATTTTTCAAACAAAATTAATTATTTAAGCAGTTAGTATAAATTTTGTAGCTAAGTGATATAAATTAAGTTGCGAATAAAACAAGCAAAATCTTAAATTGAGCATGCATCTGATTATACACATACATATGTAGGGGATTCACAGGGTGCAACAAGAGCGTGTCCTAAACCACCCCTCCGCCCCTCCAAAATGGAGGGAAAAGTTTTTTTTATTGAAAAAGGCATAAATATTACCTACCAAATTAGGGACGCTCTATCTTTTGGTGGCATCACCAACTTCTAGTTTCGACCGGAAATGAATTTTTGATTTTTGTTTTTAATTAGACATACATGGTTTTACTACGAATTCGAATTCTGAGGATAAAAATACGTAACTTTCGTTTGAAACTTTTTTCTTGGAAGTGCATTTTTCAAAGGAACATTTCACTCCATTTTAAATAACGGAATATTTCGGACGGGTGGTCTAGGACACCCTGTATATATTCTATCCCGGTAGTGTACATACAAATCCCCTAGAACCATTTTAACGTTGAAAAAATTTTTAAGGCATACCCCGCTTGTGCGAATCTGTAGCACCGAAAAATACAACAAGGCCTACTATAAGTTATAAAAACGCAATGAGACATTTATGCGGTTCAGATTTGTTCCGACGGAATAGCTAAAGTGTGCGGATACCTTAAGACATTATGATCCTAAAGACGCCTTGTGAATCCTCTAATATTACATATGTGTGCATTTAGACCGGAGAATTACTTTCACATACTTAAGGATAAACAAACCTAATTATACATAAGTATACCTATTTTACTTAAATAATAAATAACTACTATTAAAAAAAGGATATACACACTTTCATGTTGACAAATCGCATTCCAAAACTCTTTAAATCAGCATAATCGTCACGTATATGTTTCCAATTTTCCTGCAGGAACTGTAGCTTCTGCTCGTCTGGCGTCTGTTTTAGCTGTTTATCCAAATTATCCAGCTGACTAGCGAGCTCATTCGCTTTCTCGAAAAATTCAATTAGCAATGAAACGCAATCGACACGTTTCAGCACCAAATCTTTAAGCTCAATCCAATGCTTGTGAAGCGCCTCAGCCTTCGAGTCTACATCGTAACGTTGCTGCGGACTCAACGATTCTAGATGCGCCTTAATGGATTCGAGCAGAAGATTTATTAGTTCCCCCTTGATCTGAAATCATAAAATATTTTCATTTAGTTTAAAATTGCCAGGTGTGTAAGTGATTAAACTCACCTCCAGATCCTGCATGAGCTCGTGGTGCTGCAGCAAAAATTGTTTGCTCTGTTGTAGCGTGCTACCCATATCGACATGCTGCTGCAAATACAATTGCCCCGAAGACATCAACCAATTGAGTAAATCATTGTATTGGGCGAGAAAGTCCGAAAGCGCTCTCTGTACACGCTGATGATCCTCGTTGCTCGTCGAACATACGCTTTCGATATAGGTTTTACGGTTTTCGATCTCGTCAAGCACTCGCTTCACACCTTGCGTCTCCGGTTGCGTGCGCCCCACCTCGTCCAGTATACTATAGCCGAGTCGCAGTGGCTCCTCGGTGAAGCTGCGTACATCACGCGCCACCTTGGCGTACATTGCAAAACTTTCTGGCGAATTTGGTGGCAGTCGCACATTCGCCAACTCCACTTCAAGTTTCTCCAACACGCTCAACGTATTCTCGGCTTTGGCGAAGAAATCACGCGATTGCTGCAGCCAATGTTCACGTTGATCTACCAGGTCCAGGTGTTCCGTGCACGCACTCAAGACATTGTATGCGCGCGCACAAGCCTCATCACCAGTAAAAGTACCCGACGCCTGCAGTTTCTCTTTGGCGCGTGTGATTTTGAGTGCGCGATCTCGCAGTTGTAGCGCCACTTGTTTCCATTCGCGATAGTTGTGCAGCGCATTATTCGCCGTATGCTCGCACTCGCCCAAACTAAAGAGGCTGTCGATTTCGTTGCGCTGCTGTCGTAATGCCGTCTCTACCTCGTCTAGCTCACGGCCGAGCAGCGCTAATGTAAGGCAGTGTTCTAGCTGTGTTTTGCGCGTCTGCCACGCGCTCTCCAGCGCATTGCGTCTATCGTGTAACGCTTCCAGCCACTGTTGCACTTGATGAACGGCGCGTGTGGCATCTCGTTTGATATGTTCGGGCCGCGTGTCTAACGATTCGAGGTCGACGAGTTCTTTTAGCTGTGACAACAGCTCATTGCCATCTTTGAGCGCTGCCATAACCGCGGTGAGCATATCGATGCGCAGCTGTTTGAATTTGTTCAGGAACTCTTGCACAGCCGCCACTTCGATAGGCAGCATTGTGTCGATGCAGGCGACTTCCAACTGATCCATGCGACGCTGACACTGCACCATCTTTTCGTGAAATTGTGTGGCAAGGTGGAGTATATGTTGACGGTCGTGCAGGAGGTGCAGGATATCTTGCCAAATAATATTTAGCGTATCGGCCATGGCATTGACTAGTTCCGAACTGATGCGCTTGCTAGCGAGCAGTTTGTCCGCTTTTTGCACGAATTCGTCCATTGGGCCGGGTAGGTTCTAAGAGGAAACAAAGAAGAAAAGAAGGGCGAGCAGAACAAATATGTATGTGTAAGATTAAGTTTGTCTTCCGAATTCATGGCGTACCTGTATATTTCTAAGAGTCTCATCGTGATCCCTCTGCAAGCGTACGGACTCATCAAGATTCGTGCCTAGTGTTGTGATCTTTGGCTCTAATTCTACTACCTTAATATATAATTTGTCCGGACTCTGAAAGAAAGATTTTGTATGTGGAGTTTATAGTCGTGAGTACACTGAGGTTTGAAATGTTTTAATCGTACAATTTTGAGGTCAGGAGGAATACGTGGAGATTGAAGAGGATTCGGTGCAAAAGAAGTGGGGTTAGGAGAGTGTGGATGCTACAAATAAAATTATGTATGCCGAACAACAAAGCACAAAATTTTTTATGACCAGTATTGATAAAGATTAGAAAATTCAGAAACGCTTCAAAATGCTAGTGAATTAAAGGCAATAAAAACTGACACGAGTCGACTCGTCGTGATGAAAATGTCGCTAAATATGAGAAATAGATAGCATATACATAATTCAGAAGACTGTACATATATGAGGTCTAAATCCATTGCCGATAAACCTAATGCCTAATAACAGTAGGCAATGACAATGCATTTGGAGGTATTTATTCCGAGGCGATTGAGAAAGAGGCCAAGCATTACCCGACCAGTTTCGATTGTACCATTTGCGATCCCAGCGCCACTTGGCAATCAGGGCAGATATTTAACCTCCTAGTCGGCAAAACGTTAGTTCGTAGCCAATCGCCTGCCTCTTTTATAGCGCCAGTTCTGCCTGAAAGACGCTGCAGAAATGCGGCAGTTTAAGCATAAGCTTTACTGAGAGTTGCTCACAGTAGACACCTCATCCAACTCTCCCGTTAAGCTTCGAAACGTCCGTGAAGATGTTTTTGGACCTCTATTCCAGAGACTTCCATTCTCCCTCCCACCCTGTGGAGGGATATGCGTGGAGAAAGATCACTCCTTAATACACACGGCGTGACGAAGACAACGATTAATATCTTCTGTGATAGTCAGGCGACCATCAAATCAATGAATGCTGCAATGCTAAGTTCAAAGGTTGCACAGGAATGCCTGGCAGCCCTAAATGATATTAGCGACGGTGCTAAAGTTAGCCTCATATGGGCTCCGGCTAGCCGGAAAGGTATCAACCTTCCACTGTGTGAGAACAGAAGTACAATTGGCATACCTATGGCAACCTGCAAATTAATTATTAGAAATAGTATTATCCAAGAGGCCAATTGGTCATCGTTAGATTAGGGCATTTGTAGAACAGCTACGCTAATATGGCCGCAAATTGATAATAAAACAGAAGAACTTCTCAGCCTCCAATAGGAGGACATTTCGAAGACCATGACCTATTTAACCAGTCATTGGCTATTTGGTAGGTACTCTTCGATATTAGGAGTATTCTTCCATGAATTTTGTAGAAGTTGCAGAGATGAGGAAGATGAAGAAACCGTCGATCATATCTTTTCCAGTTACCCAGCTTTAGCTAAGAGCAAGTCTTTCTATCTCTCTCGCAACTATACGGTGAAGGATTAAAGCAGTTCTACGCTTCATAATAGCTTTAAAATGGTTCCATTAAATACAGACAACGAGGTTTCTATGCTTCACAGTGGTATCAAAATGGACCCTCAGGGTCTAAGTGATAATGTCGTTTGGACTGACTGCAACATTAACGTAGCCAAATCTGAATCACATATCGTTTTTTGGGCAACCTCCAGTAATTATTTGGGGAAGTGAAACTAGTTTTTATTTAAATTGCCCTCTATAAGTGCACATGTAAATTGTACTTTAAATTCTGTATTTTTGTAATGCTTAAGGTCAACTCCGAATTACAGCGGACGACGGCAAAGCGGTCAACGGTAAGTGAATGAAATCCGTCAGAGTAAACACAATTGCGGCGCACGACAGCTTCCGTCAGTTGTCATTTTCATTTGAAAATTATCATTACAATTAAAAATTTTTCGGTACGTGCGTACATACATACATATGTAGATTTGCTGGAAATAAAAATGGATGACAACATTGCCAAACTTGTGAAAATAATAAAAACTACTACAATCAGCACTCAATCAACATTGTTCGGTCCCCGCCGGGCGGTAAAAATATAAATAAATTGGATTCAACCGACAAACGTCGGCGGTAAAAACGCTGCCGCCGCAATTATGAGCCATTCCATATGCCTTTGTGAGATCTAATTTTGACAGCGGTGAACCGACGACCGCTTTACCGTCGTCTGCTGCAATTCTGGGTAGAGCTTTATATACGTTTTGGTATCTTGAAAGTAATTTTTCAAGTTTCGTAGTCATTCGCATTCTACCAAATATCATTTAATTTTCAAATTATCTCAGTAACAACACAGCAACTAACGTTTACTGCTTTTGGTTGTTTTGAATAGTTGCCATAAATTTTTATAGCATCTTCTAGCGGCAATGATCTCTGCGCATCTACGCTTACTTTTTATCAGCTTAAAAAGCACACCACACACACGGCAACACTTCGTAGCAAACTAGCCAAATGTGTAAGAAAATAGGAATTCTCTACGACGAATCATAAACAAAGTAACGGATGCGAATGCGCCATAATTGGACAACAATGACCTTCATTGCAGGCGACAGGGAAAATTCATACAAATGTACATTTCTACGTAAAGAAATGACGTGCAAAAAGCAAGTTTGTTGTTTAAGTTAAATGAGTGAGACGAAGAGTCAGTCGCAAGTAGTATAAATACGAGTACTGGCAACGACAAAGTGGCCAAAACAAATGGCTAACTGAAGAAAACACCATCAATGATGCGGAATGGCTGGATAGGAGAAGTCTAACGGGTGATTTTTTTGAGGTTAGGATTTTCATGCATTAGTATTT